TGTAAAGGGATTCAATCCTTTTTCTGTGTATTGTGAAAGTGTTTTTAATACCCAGCTTTTTGGGGAACAAAAGCACTTTGCTCATGTATCCTGGCTGGGATTATGTAGCAGCTGTGTTTCCAGATCTGGGTAGTTCCCATTGTGCTTTCCCAAGCTCTCAGGAGGCTGTCATATATCCAGATATAGGTGGAGCTGTTGCTCCCTCTCAGATCTTCTGTTTAAGTTGCTTCTGTAAGTTGCTTCTACTCTGCTTCCCCCGCCCCCCCCCACCCTCCTGTTATCTGAAACTGGAAAAGGGTGCTTGTAGAAGTTACTCTTGAGTTAAATTCCCGTCAGGAGAAGAGCTACGATTAGGCCAGGATGTAGTACATTTAAGTTGTTAAATTGCGTGTAGCTTAAAGGTCTCAAGAGTTTGGCAGCAGGTGAGAAGAATTCTTAAAATACAGTTCTGGACTTCATAGCAGAACTAGGGTGATGTCAGGTACCTACTGTCAGGCCTAGTTCTGAGCTACATCTTGTGTAGAAATTGTTGCTATTTAATTTGCTGTTTTTCACGAAGTGGCAAAATGCTTTGATGTGAAATGGAGGATAAGATACAGGAGTGTAATGAGAGACAGGTAAAGATTAATGTTTTGCTGCTTCTGGTGTTGTTGAGTGAATATTGGTATCGGAAGAAACTGCAGTAAATTGGAGAAGAATCTATAATGAAGCTTTGATTGTTGGCATTGGTCTTAATGGGTGTTTAAATTCAGCCTGGAGGAACAGGGAGGAAGAGGAGAGGTGAACGGATTATTCAGGTGGATGTAGAAGTCTAAAAGTAAGGTTACCCAAAGAAGAAACCACAGCATATGCTTTCAGAATAGTAATTTTACTAGTTTGGGTTTGATTTCTGGTAGTGGTTGCTAGCCACACTGAGAAGTGTGAAAGCTCTAGTAATACCTAAAAAGCAGTCTTGAAGTAAGAAATTTGGTAGTTACATAGTGTTTTTCAGTCAGCTGGTATTTTGGCTTACTAGTACATGTTTGGCTTGCATTAAACACAAGAAAGTTAGACATGGCCTTTGCTGGAAATAAAACTGACAGTAAGAGTAAAATGTGAAAATTAGGTGCTGTTCTGAATTGTTTCAAATAGAGTATCTGAATCTTGGCATAAATGAACAGGGACTGACACGTTTCGGGTATTTCTGTTTCAAATAATCTGTCAGCATCCACTAGTAGAACCCTAGGAATGCAGTTGTGAAATTGATGAAAAACAGGTTTTTATTTACAATACAAACAGTCTGAAAGATGGGGAAAGAAAAATACTTCAAAAGAGTATAGTATTGTTTTGAACAATAAATGTTCAAAATTCAGTTCAGTGTACTGAAGTGAACGGAAGAGTCCGAGAGACTACATTTCAGAATGTGCAGATGGCAACTTGCTTTCAAGTGCAAAACTTGACAACTGCATTTGTATTTACGTGCTTTGCTTTGTCTGGGATTAACATGATGTTGTGCCTTTTTTCTTTTTGTAGGCTAGCTTCTCTGGAGGAACAAATGGCCCCTTGTCTATCTTCAGTCCAAGTGTAGGCTCATTTGGTATGTGAAAGGCATTTTAGATTTTAGTGAGTTCTGGGTAAGTTGATTCCTTAAACAGTTGAGGAAATGAAAAAAATGACAATATTATCATTGTGATATTTTCATGTGTCCCACGTGTGTCCAGCTCTGGAGCCCCCAACTTAAGAAGGACAGATGTGTAGATGTGTTGGAGCGGGTCCAGAGGAGGGCCACAAAGATGATCAGAGGGCTGGAGTACCTCTCCTACGAGGACATGCTAAGAGCGTTGGGGCTGTTCAGCCTGGAGAAGAGAAAGCTCCGGGGTGACCTTATAGCAGCCTTGCAGTACCTGCAGGGGCCTACAGGAAGGATGGAGAGGGGCTTTTCACAAGGGTGTGTAGTGATAGGACAAGGGGGAGTGGCTGTAAACTAAAAGAGTGCAGATTTAGATTAGATAGTAAAGAATTTCTTACTAATATGAGGGTGGTGAGGCACTGGCACAGGTTGCACAGAGAAGCTGTGGCTGCCCCCTCCCTGGGCTGTGGCTGCCGCCTCCCTGGCAGTGGTCAAGGCCAGGTTGGATGGAGCTCTGAGCAACCTGGTTTGACAAAGATGTCCCTACCCATTGGAGGGGGGTTGGAACCAGATGATCATTAAGGTCCCTTCCAACCCTTACCATTCTATGATTCTATGACTAAGCAATATGAAATTATATGGGTAACATAACAAGTAGACTTTCCTTTCTACTCTCAACCCTTCTTTATTTACTGCAGTTATGTGTTGAATACAGCATATAACTTCTAATGAGAGTCAACAGGTGTTACAAGTATTTCTAAAACAGGCTGTGCTAAACATGAACAGTATTGAAAAGAAATAAGGTTATATGGAATCTTGAGCAGTTCTTGTGAGGTCCTGTCTGATAGTTGTGTTGAAAATAAGAGAAGGTCAGATGAAGTTGTTTAACAGAAACTTAGATGCATTTGAAAAAAAAACAAAACAACAAAAGCGACAAGACAAAACAGTGGTGTTTGGTGTAAAGTTTCTGTGAAGCACTCTTGGTTTAATGAAGATGATGCGTTTAATAACTTGAACAGATAGATGCAAAAGTTAGAAGAAGTTTAGGTATAGAAGATAGAAGTTTCAAATGTGCCAAGCCAGGGTTGCTGCTGACTGAGTTTGTCCCAGACTTGACTTTGTGTGACTACAATAGTCAGATCAGGAAGCAGGTTTTGCTTAGAATTGATGGTGGGATAAAGCAGTCAGAGTGTTCTCAGGGAGAGAGAACTGAACTTAGAAATGGTCTTTACAACTGTTTGAGGATATTTTAACTTCAGAGAAATTCAACCTGAGGTAAAAATTTGGAGCTTGTATCATTTAGTTGATCTGCCGGTGGAAGAACAACTTAAACTGTATTTTAACAAATTACGGTTAGCACAAACTATGTTGACATAGTAGAATCATAGAGCAGCCTGGGTTGGAAGGGACTGCAAAAGATCATCTGGTCCAGCCTTTCTGTGGTAAAGGAAGCCTAGATGAGATTACTGATCATTCTGTCAAATCCCATCTTGAAAATCTCCAGTGATGGGAACTCCACTATGTCCCTGGGGAGGTTGTTCCAGTGATGGACTGTTCTCGTTGTAAAAAGTTTTTCTTCTGTTGAGATGAAACCTCTCCCAGTGCAACTTGTATCTGTTGCCCTTTGTCTTCTCCGTGTGGCTCTTTCAGAAGAGAGAGCCCCTGTGCTCTTTGTAGCCACCTTTCAAGTACTGGAATACTGTGATGAGGTTCTCCCTTCTCTTCTCCAGGGACAAAAGATATAACTCAGCCTTCTCCTCAAAGAGCAGGTTCTCCATATGTTTATAACGGCTCATGTGCTTATGAGCAGTTAGAACACAGCAGTGTGTTTATTGCTAATGTATTTCTCCACTGCCTTTTAGCGTATAGCTGAAAGGCAGACTTTGCCCATCGTCCCCAGGATGTTGGGAAATCAGGAAGGGCAGGAACAAGGTATCACTTGTGCTGCTTAGTCCTCTGAATTTGCACATGTACAGTAGAACGCTTTGCATTCATCTTAGAACAGCAGAAATGTTTTACAAGGTCTCCAGATTGCAAGTTTCAGTAATGGTTTGACACAGAACGAATGAAAGGCAGTGAAGAGAGCTTGAATTGCAGGTTAGGTGGAAGCGAGTCTTGGAGCTTCATGTTTTGTTTGTTCCAACTCTTTCTTTCTGACTAGCTGTCAACTCTGCCTGCTAGCTTTTCTATTACGTGTTGCAAAAATAATTGATGCCTCTTGTACTGAACTTATGGCAGAGTGGCCTTTTTCTGCTGAAGGTCATGCTTTCACTGTTGTCATTAACCATTTATTCCTTTCCTGAGCTAGGCATATTGCACCATTTTAGATCAGTGTGAGCGATTTCAAAGGGTCTGTTTTGGCTTAACACAATCTTTTTGGTGAGGCTCTCAGTTGGTAAGATTACGCATCTTGTCTTGACCTTATTTAAAAGGATGCATAAGTATTGGCGATTTTTTGCCTACAACATGATAGAAAAAGGTGTCCTTTTTTTAATTTTTTTTTTTTTTTTCCCAGAAAAGGCTTCACAGGCCTCATTTCTTCCTTCCCTTGCAGAATTTCTAATTTGTGAACAGATTGTGCTCGGCTGAGTTTTAAATTAAGCTCTCCTGAGCCACTCTCTTGTATACAATGCACTTCTAGGCTCTGTATAGTTTATATTGTTAGTGATATAGCTGTCTTGTTTGATGCTAAATAGCATGAGTGGAGTTAGTGTATACAGGTTAAACTTTGATTTTCTTTTTTTTCCTTGACACAATATCTAGTAGTAGTACTCCTGTGTAAGTACTTGTAATGAGGATGAGCTAGAAGTAACATGGCATGCTTGCAGATTATTTTTTTATAGAGCTTTACTTCAAATTAAACAAGTTAATTCATTCTTTGCATTGCTTCTTGATGAAAGCAAAACTTTCTCTACAATCTGGCTGTTCTGAATCTTGAATTCTGAAGGAACTTTTTTGTTTCCTTTGGTACTTAAAAAAAAAACAAACCCAAACAAAACCACCCACAAAAAACACCAAACAAAAAACAGAATTAAAAGTTTTGCTAATATGACATTTATTTAGTAATTACAGGCTTTGGTTGTGGATGTCTCTGGAATGGATTAAAATTGGGATTTTAAATCCACATGTTCAGTAGAACAATGTAAGTGAATGCATATGATGAGGAAATCAGTGGATCTAGTAGCTGTTGTTCAGGGATGTGCTCATGCACTGCTGGATTTCAATTCCAGTGGGTTGGAAACAAGAATTCATTCTAGTCCTCTAATCTATCAAATATTGCTTGAAAACTAGTGCATTTAGTATGGTAAATGATATCATGATGAATTAAACACCAACATGCAGTACTTCTAGAGTCTGTGTAAGAGTAGTTAGCTTGCAAACCTGTATAGACATGAGCTGCATGAATAATTCGCATGGTAGGTGAGTGATAATTGTGGAAGTTGCTACACTTTTACCAATCTTAATAGGTCGGTTGGCAAGTAACAGTACAGTCTACAGTCAATTTGATGTAAGTGTAAAGCATAGCAGGCTTGACGAAAGAATGATTATTGTTGTATTCTGTTTATAAATCTGTGGTTTTGTCCATCATCTTTCATTAGTAGAGGCAGTAAACACAGTGAAGGAACTTATTAAAGCAGATGCTTTACTGATCAGGTATTTTGTTGGTACATGATGCGTTTTCAAAAAACTTTGAATATTGAACTACCTTGGTGCACTTAAGGTGTGGAAATCTCAGTGGAAGAGGAGTGTTAGAATAAAAATGGGGTAGGATGGCAAGTAAAGCGAAGAGAATCCTCACCCCAATAATGGCAAATAGACTTTGTCAGTGGAAACCAATCAGTTGCAGTACACCACAAAAATATAAATTTAAATAATTAGTAAGGTGTTTTTATTTGCTGATTGTTACATGTTACATATAAACATGAGTATCAGAATCTTTTATACTGGCTATGCCAGAAACTACTCAAATCTTCCAAGTGAGCAGGAGCTCTGAACATTGTTCAGACTACGAAAGCAGCAGTTTAACACTTTGATTAGTGTTTGAGCAACAAGGTTTTCCAACTGAGTGACTTTGTAATGTACCAAATGTTATCTGTCTTCTTTTTTTCCTTTATTGACAAGCTCTTATATACAGGTGATCTCTAACTAATGTGTTTGTCTCATTGAGGAATGTACGACTGGCTGGGTTTTTTTTGGGGTAGTTATATTAAGCAGTTTTAACATGGAAGGAAAACGGTAACAGTCAGTTTCTGTGATGTGCCATATCCTTGCACATCACAGGATTTTGTAGACTTCATGTTTTGATTTTGGATTTCATATCTTTATGGTGGTTGTTGATGTGACCTGATTTTGACTTTGATACTACAGAATAGGGCGTTTTTATTTTGTGGAATCACTCTGGTTGGAGGGCAACTCTGAAGATTGGCTGGTCCAAATCCTTGCATAGAGTAGGGTCAACTGTAGCAGGTTGCACAGGACCTTGTCCAGCTGAGTTTCGAGTTTGTCCAGGGATGGAGACTATACATGCTCTCTGGGCAAGTTGCCTAGTGTTTAACCACCCTCAGAGTAAAAAGATTTTCCTTATATTGAAACAGAATTTTGTTTATTTCAGTTTGTGCACGTTGCCTCTTGTCCTATTGTTGCGTATCAGCGAAGAGAGTCTGACTCTCATCTTCGCTCGCTTCTGTTAAGATGCAAGATTCTTTGAGTCTTTTTGTCTCCAGGCACAGCAGTTTGAGCTCTCAGCCACTCTGTGTGTGACAGAGGCACCAGTCTTTTCATTACCTTTGTGGTGCTTTGCTGGACTTACTCCAACATGTCAGAACAGTACTGAACAGCCTAGAACTGGACACAGCACTCTAGATATGGGGTCATCAGCAGGGAAGAACCACTTGTCCCCACCTTCTGGCGACATTCTTCATAATACGTAGTGAAGGCCAGAAGGTTGCTGGCCTTCACTACAAGGGCACATTGCTGGCTTATGTTCAATTTATGTTCAATGTGCTATCCATCACAGTCCTCAGTTTTTTGTCTGCAAAGATGCTTTCCAGCTGGTTGGCCCCAGTGTGTAAAGGTTCCTGGAGTTATTGCTTCCCAGGTGCAGGATTTTGTATTTCTCTTTGTTGAACTTAGAAGTTCTTGCCTGCCTATATCTCTAACTATATTTTGAGTTTTCTCAGAGTGAAACACAGCCCTACGTTATGTCTCAGTTTTGTGTGTCTGCAGACTAGCTCTAGCCGAGTATGCATTCTTTCCCATCATCTGGGTGATGAATTAAGATGAGAAACTGTGTTGGCCCCAGTACCAGTCACTGGGTTACTCTGCTAGTGACTGGCCTCCAACTGGAGTTTGTGCTGTTGATCACAACCCTTGGAGGCCAGTGGTTCAGCCTACTTTCAGTCCTCCTAACTGTCCAACTATATAGGCTATTCCTTCCCTTGTTTGTGTATGGGGGTGTTACGTAAGACAGTGTCAAAAGTCTTGCTTTCTTGTTTTCCAGGTGCTGTTGAAAGACCTAACAGAAGTGAGCATATGCAGGATTATTTTGGAGCTTATTGTGGGAGTAGAGGTAGGATTGCATGGTTAAAATGGGGTGATTAATCCTTACTTTTGGACAAAACATTTAGAATGGAGGACCTTGCAACTGGTGTCCTAGGTTCTGGAAACTCAAAATTTTACTGTGTTGGTAGCAGTACTGTTGCTGAGTGGTGCTATTCCTTACGGAAAACAGTAGTTGTATCTGTCTTAAGCTTTGTAAGTTTAATTAATTTTCTTTGTCTTACAAAAGGACACCTCATCACGTGGGGTTTTTTGTGAAGTGGGAGGTATGGTACAGACCTGGGGTCCTTTTTTACTGTGGAGTTAAAAAAAAACACCAAAAAACCATGAACTGAAACAACAGAAAAAAACCCCCAGATTCACCCAAAACCAGAAGCCTATCCTGAATTCAAAGATAGCTTTAAATATTAAGTTGATTCTTTTTTCTAATTAATAGGTACTGATGAATGTCTGAACAGACAGTTTCAACCAGGGATTAGATTTGGTAGCAGAAGGAGTTTTGGAAGCAGAGGTAACTTTCTGGAGTGTCTTTAATTCTAGTGACTGATGATATTTGATACATTACATTTTCCCTATTCAAGTACTCAGTTTTGTTGTATTAGAGCTAAGTAAGTATTTATGGCTTGGAGGGTAATACCCGCCTTTATTTCTGCATAATGCAGGCACTCAGCATGACCCCTTAGTTTTGACCACACAATAAAAGATACCCCACCATATATGCCGGAAGGCAGGACTCTACCTTTAAAATCAGTGTTTTGTTTACCTCTTGCTTTGATTCCATTCTCCCTGTAGAGGGGTATTTTTCTCATAATTTGAGTCATAATAAAAGACAGCTGAATATTAATATTCACATATGTGCCATGTGAGGGAGCATACCAGTGCTCTTTTGTGGGAGACCTGAAAGCTTGCTTTCTTTCATATCCATAAAGCAATATTTAATCTCTGTCCTCTTCCTGCTTATAATGGTGAGTGCCACTCCCGTGTGCAGTGCACATTGACAAGGTTAGTAATTGGTAGTTTGGCAGTACTGCTGCATATGCTTCCTCCAGGTGCTGTGCGAAGCATATAGGGCAGTGGAATCTACTATCACATAGCATCTGTATAGATAGAACTATGGCTGTAAGGGGGACTGGTTATGAAACAAGGAAGGTGGAAGCTGTAGTCTTGGTTTGGGGATGTTTAGCAAAAGTTGTGACCTTCGGAACAGCTGTGGAGCCACTTGAAGTTACTATGTTTATTCCTTAAAAAAATTCTACACCATTTCTGCATCTCCTGGATTGAAGCCCGTTATGGTAGGGGAATGCTAGGCTTGTTTGACTAAGCAGGCAGCAGCACTTGGGCAGTGCTGTGGGATGCTGATGAACCGTTCTGCTGTAGACCGTCCAGCAGTTGTGAAGTAACTCACAAGTTGTATTTAAGGTCTGTAGTATTTATAGATGTTTATATTTAGACTGTCTTTTGCATGTGAGCCTTTAAGATGTGATTTAAAAAAAAAAAAAGTTTTATTTGGAAAAACTCAAATGACATATAAACTGGTATGCACCAAGTATTGGTGGGGAAGGAGGTACAGATGCTGTGGTAGGAGAACTTTTTGGTCTCATTTAGCAGAAAATGCTCTTTGTCACTACAGGATGATGGAACAGGTGCTCAGTTGAAGAATAATGACTAAGGAGTAAGTGACAGTACAAGTCAACTGCTTGAATCTCAGGCAAGACCTAAAACTGTCCAATCTAAAATGAGAAATACATTGTTTATGCATGTGACTGTTTACTTCCTCTCCCTTCCCATCAGGAGGGTAACTACAGAAAGGGATTAGAAATAAAAATACTCTCAGTACTTTGCACTGCCTGTCCCAAGCAACTGAATAAGCAATTCTGAGTAATAAAGTTGATGGATCTGAAAGGCGTGTTTTCAAATCCTCACTCCATAGCAGGCAGCAATTGCAGTACTATCTCACTCTACGCTACTGGTGCTTAAAACTGAGACGGTACAAATGCTGTCTGTTGTTCCGTGACTGAACCAGAGCACTAAACTGATCTGCATCTTAACTGAAGAGTTGAAAGTTAGTAGCATATATAGCATATATGCGTGTGAAGTCAAATACTTCAATACTTAATGTTTGATTTACTGCTGCAGGAACCAGTATTACAGGAGAGCAGTAGACTCTTCTTCTTGTCATACTTTTTGGCAGAAAATATTTCTTCATTTTTTCATGTGCTTAGGCAAATCACTTAGTTTTATTGTACTTTTTGTCTGAATTCGTAAAATAAGGACTGCGAAGAGTAAAGTAAGAGTAAAAGGTGCTTGATGTGCACGTGAAAAACTGGGCAAACTAAGTTGTTGTGTGCTATGCTGTACTGCAGGCTTTCAAGAAAGGAACGTTGTAAAAGATTCTAGTGCACGAAACAGAGGTTTTAGAGGATTTTCTGGTGGCTTTGGTCAAAGTGAGGGTAAGTTTGTTGTTTGTTTTTTTTTTTTTTTTTAATGTTGACTGGTGTATGTGGTAACAGCATGAATTTTGTCATGTTTCCTGGGTTTGGTTGCTTCCTGAGAACTAGAAATATAAAGCTCAAGGCTAAGAAATAGCTTCTGTTTTTCAGAACAGAACACATGTTCTGTATTACGGAACATGGATGACATCTTTGAAAAATAGTATCACTGGGAATAGTACAACGTAGGTTGGAGCTACAAAGAGTCTGTTTGGACTGCTGCACTGTAGAGTTTTTGGAGTAAATATGTTATCTCTAAGCGTAATATTTCATGATTCTAATTTTAAGCATTGTATCCACTACACTATGTATTATTTGCAGGCATTAAAGATGAGCAAAGAGAAGAACCTCAGTCCGGCATTTTTCGTGGCTCTAGAGGAAGAGGAGCATTTGGAGGTCGTGCAGGTCAGACTTTTTAGTAGGGTGGTGAACCTTTCACATTTCCTCATTGATGATTTGTGGCAATGCAGTACATTCTTGGCTTTGCAAAATGCTGTCACTGTGATTGTTCTCACTGTCTGAATTCAGAACCTGCTGTAAATGTTAGATAGCATGTTTGCATGCCAACACAAGACATATTTGTAACTTGGATTAATTGTAGGGATTGAATATTCAAAGCTATTGTCTTCCATAATTTTTTTCTTGGTCCTGCTGCTACTGGGTCAGTTAATGCATAGTGAAGCATCGAGGTGCTAACCCCAAAGTTCAAAGCAAGCCTTTAAGAACTTACTCAGTTTTGAAATAGTCGCTCTAGACTTTTTCCTCCCCTCTTTAAAGGGAAGTGTTGTTTTAGGTTTCCAAGCTGATGGGCAAGGTTTGTAGCTCTGAGAGGCCAGCTCTTCCTGATTACTTTATTCTAATATTGTTTTTTTTGCTCTCTACAAAGGATTTTTCCCTCATCGTCTTATCCTCCTTTGCCACTGATGCTACTGTAACTTGTAATTCATGTCATGTCACTCTAATAGAGTTTGTAAAGGTAATAAAGGTATGACTGTGCTGGTTTTTCGTAACAGTTATGCTTTTTGCAATTAGAGATGCTGTGTAAGCATATTATATCTTTTGATGGAAAAGTAAGTATTTAAAAGTGATGACATACACTGTTTGTGTTATCTTTGCGTGTGTTCTCAGTCACCATCTTGATGAAGCTGTGGTTTTACAGAGTTGCTGCAGAGTATTGCTGATGAACAGAGCATTCCTAAGCCAAGTCACAGTACTGGCTGCCTCTTTAGAACTGGCATTTATGTTTAGAATCAATAATTTTATCTTGTTGAGAATGAGCAATCAGATTAATACGCTGCCCTGATGCTATTCTTTTGTGCTTGCACTGCTGCAGTGAGGAAGAATGCAGATGAGGGAGGGCGAAAGAGACATTGCAGGGTCACTGTGCTTCTGTGGTACCGTTCTTAAAATTATCATTCTCATGTTGCGGTTTTTATGAAAGACTTGAGCTGCACATTTGAGTAGAAAACTTCTTAACTGCTTTTGTTGTTGTCTTTCCTCTTTACTCAGTCTTGTGTCCCTTATCTACATTTCTAGCCTCCCTTCTTTTCCAGGGGAGCCTTATGTTAAAGGCTTTTATTTTCATCCTTCTTTGAAATCAGCAACACAACTTTCTGTGCAGAATAGCTAGAAGCTGCTGGTTAGGTTTAAGGCTTTTTCTATTTTGTATATAATAAAAATAAAGACTTAAAATGGATTCTGGAAATGCTGCTATTAAAAGCGCAGTCTTACAGTTTTTACGTAGGTAAAATATGTGGTATTTCTTCACTCTTAAGAATAATTGTCTTTGTTTTTCAAGTGATATTGAAAGCAACACACACACAATACGTGTATGTCAAGGTCAGAACTTTCATGGAGTGAATGTTATAAATGCGTGGCCATTCAAATAACGGGGTAGTTCTCTCTTCTGATACAAATTCTCTTCTAATTCTTGAAAAATTACTGTGATGACAGTGAAGTTTATGGCTATGGCTCTTTAGTTATTTACGGGTTGCCTATGTAGCATAAAACAAGCATCTCCTGATCTTGTGGAAAGGTTGAATGGTTCTTAAAACCAACATGCTGTAACCGTGCTTGTGAATTTGTTACTCTCAATATTTTGATTATCAGGTTTAGGAGAAAAACCTCACTGAGGAGGTAAAAAAACAAGGTGGTAAAACTGACATTTCTGTGGCATTTTAATTTCTTGTTATAGATGCTTTTTTTCCTCATGTTTCATCTCGGGTGAATATAGACAACCTCATCTGCCCTTGCAAAGCATACGTTGGATTTAGGAGGGATCATTCCACTTGGTTGTATTTAAATACAACTTGCTTTATCTTATCTAGACATCTTCTGATGGCCCTCTCATCTGGCATGATTGTTTTTGACTTGACGATAGGGGACTTGCTGTGAGTCAAGTAAGGACCAGATCTGGTTTGTGAAGTCCCTTAGCAAGTTGCTGGGTTTAATTCCTACATGTTTTTACTGCAAGGTCCTGCTAAGCTCAGTGTTTTGACATCCACTCTTTCTGCCCTTTAAAACACAAATGTGGAGCCTTAGTCTTCTGACTTTTTGTAACTTAGCTTTCATTGCTTACTTAAGTATTTCCAGTCATGCTACTAGACATAGCAGGACCTCCTGTTGAGTTTAAGTGCCTCTAGGAATTTTTAATTAAGTTTCTTACTTAGATTTTTCTCCCAAAGGAGCTTTTTTTCCTAAAAGCACTTAATTTTGTAATGCTTTCTTTAACAGCAGCTTACAAAGAATGCAATGAAGAAACAGGTGTTGGAAGAGGTAAGTAGCTTCTTCACAAGTAACATATCAGTTTTAATTTGCCTTCAACTCAAGGAAAGTTCTCTTACTTAAAATTGTTGGAAGTGATTTGATAAAAAAGAAAGTAGTAATATAGGTAAATGCATAACCATCTCAAAACTGTTCATGTAACATGAGTTGCCAAGCAAATACTGTTAAACTGAGAATGTTTAAACTTTCTTCCTCTTTAAATTACTGGGCAACACGTAGTTGTTCTCACATAAACAACTAACTAACTTCTTTAGAATGGAGTGCAGTAGAATTGCTTTGTTGCTGACTCTTTCTTTTTTCTAATGGTAAAGCTTACCTACCCAAGACACAAGTGTTGGAGAACTCACCTGGCAATAGTGTAGGCATGTGAGTGACGATAGTCATTAAAGCAAACCATGAAGGAACAGTAGATACTCGGTTTCAGATGCTGTAGCATCTGGGATGCTAGTTCTGGAAAACAGGCTTGATGTGCTTTACTGGGTGCAAGTTAGTAAGCAGAGCTGCATGATTTGCACGTGCAGGAGATCAGGTTGAAATGTGTGATAACAATTTTCTGACATGTGTTGAAAGTGTCAGTTGGGACAACCTATTAGAGTGTTTACCTACCTGCAGTGATTTTTCTTGTAAGTGACTTCAGTCTTATTTTGCCTTGCTGGTACTTTTGAAATGAAAACAGGCAACTAGTGAACTCCGGACTTCCATAAGAATAATTTTATTCCTGGTTCTTCCTCATTTGAGGTCCCTGTGAAATGGCTTCCACTGCTAACCTTTCAGTGAGCATCAAATAGTCAGTTTTATACCTCTCAGCATATTAGCTTGAAAAATACATCAAAGAATACAGAACCATAAATGTACTGCTATGAACAGATGAATTTTAATTCATCTGTTAATAAATGCATTGTTAATGCATAGGATAATTTATAGTGTAATGACTTTGTGTGATAGAACTATTTTTTGCATGATGGTAAAGTAGAGCCTAATTTAATAATTGTGAGTAGTCTTCAAAGTAAGGTCCTTGACTAAACGTGAGACAAGAATACTTTACAGAAGTCTGACTTTATTTGTGAGTTTTAGGTCTAGTAGTATGAAACTAAGTTCTTACAGAATTCATATATGAAATTTCTTGCCTTCCTGGAAAGTGAAGTGTAAATGACATCCCACTGAACTTAACTTCAATAGCTCTGTACTTAAAATAGTTTTTTTGTTTATATTGTTCCTGAACTTGAGTGGTTGTGTTCTTAAGGTCCAAAGGTGACGTACGTGCCCCCTGCTCCACCTGATGATGAACAAGCCATCTTTGCACATTATCAGACAGGAATTAATTTTGACAAGTATGACGAAAATGTTGTTGAAGTGTCAGGACTTGACCCTCCAGCACCATTACTGGTTAGTGAACTTCATTAATGTTGGGGTTTATGTTGAGCGTGATTCTGCAAGGATGTATATACTGAGTCTGGTATTCACTGCTAATGAAAATATTAGTAAAGATTGTGGATCTTGCAGACAGTACTATGTTGGAATGAGATGCTGCCTGTTTGAAAGATACAAATTTTAATTCAAAATAACATTGTCAAATTACAGACAAGGCCCAGAGAAAGTGATGCTGGATGGATGGGAACTCTAGTCCTTAAACTGCAGAAAAATACCAGTTTAGATCTTGAAAGAAAGAGGGCTGTGGCATCAGTTTCCGGGAGGGCTGGTAGAGTCGTCTTGTTGAAGTCAGTTACTTGGGGGATCTTTAACAATGTAAATGAACACTGGTCAGAATAGTTGTCATCTGGGTAGAGAGGTGTTTTTGAAGTAATTTCTAGTCCAGTTTTCTGTGGCTGCTGTTTATTGTTTAAAAGTAATATAGAACTTTGCCTCTAGTCCGTATCAGGTGGCTAGTATTTTTTTTAAAAAAAGGTGCTCTTTTTAGGGAGAAGAAAGAGGAAAAAGGGCAGATGGGTTAGTAGCACCTGTGTTAAAGGAGCAAATGCAGAGTTTTCCTCCCCATCCATCTTCTGAAAGGTTTTCTCACTGAAGTTACGCTGATTTTTGTCATGTATGGTGCTTTTTGGTCCTGCTTAGGAATGTTGATGTAGCTCCCCTTATTAGTTTTAGCACAGAGACTAAGTGTGTGTCTGCTGCCTGAAATGAAACTGAAGAGTTTTAGTTTGTTTTCATAGCGTGCCATGATATGAGTTTACCTGCTTGAATCCAGATTTATGGCTTCTGAGCAGTTTTCTCTCAAAGCTTGTAAGGACAGCTGAAGGCCTTCACTGTGCTACAAACGAATGGCATGAGCAGGTTGAAGAAACCTTTGGGGCTTTTACCTGTAGGAACCTTGGCAATCTAGATGACTGGTGAGACCCTCTCAAAAGTTAATATTTTAGTATTTGGATGTCTGTATCCTATGGTAAGCATCTCAGTTTTTAAACTTTGTGTGGTTGTGTACTGTTGTTACTTTTTTCCCCTTACAGTCTTTTGATGAAGCTAACCTCTGTCAGACTTTAAACATGAACATTGCTAAAGCTGGATACTCTAAACTTACTCCAGTGCAGAAGTACAGCATTCCTATTATACTGGCAGGACGGGATTTAGTGGCATGTGCTCAGACAGGATCAGGAAAAACTGTAAGCATTTAATGTAGTATTCAAAGTACTGGAAGTGTGTGACCTTAAATTTCAGGTGAATGCTTCAATTTTGAACGTGCCAGATGCTGCGGAGCTTGCAGTCTAATGATCTGACTGGCACTGCAATGGCAGGTGTAGTATTCAGTACAGATACTAATGATGAATGAGTTATTGTGGTTTTGGGCTAAATTTCTTTTTAATTTCGATGAACTAGTGTACTGATACAGCAGGACAGTCTTCAGGGCTGCAGATACGCATTCAGAGCACTCATAAAAACTGCTGATGAGAAAAATCAGCAGTTGAAAGTTGGGCACATTTTTTTGATGTTGGTATGTGTGTTTTGTTTTGTGTGGTTTTGTGTTTTTTTGTGTGGGTTTTGTTTTGTTTGTTTGTTTTAAACTTAATGCCCGATTGTAACAGCATGTCATGTTGGTTTGTCTGAGTCTGATCTGCACTGGGCTTAGTTTTAGGTGATTCAGTATTAATCATGAAGCAGTGTTGAGAGCTGATACTCCATTCACGAATGCGTCAACATGTAAAACTGTCTAATATACCCAGATCTTACCATGGACAGCTCTGTATCAGAATATTTGGATATGAAGTACAAAGTACAGCTTTTGTCCAGTATAGTGTGGAATTCTAGCGTTGTTGTTATACAGCTTATTAGTTAGTTGTTTTGAAAAACCTCTTCTGTTTGCAGACGGGGGCAGCGTCCAAAGCTTGTGCTGTACATGTTCTCAATGCTTTTGGGGCTGCTGTACAGTTTCTGTTTTGGGAGTAACGAGTCTTATATGGAAGTAAGGGTGCTGGTACAGCTGTGCTGCAAACTGATCTGCTGTAGTAGTAGTCTGGAGAATGGTGATACATGGTTAACTTACAAGTATAGTGATGATAATGTAAAGCTTGTAAATAAATGTTAGGAAGGATTTTTGATCCTGGGGTATGTAATTATCAGTGTACGTCAGCATGATATGTCGAACTGCCTGAAGAACCCAGAAGTTAGTTAGTGCATGACTATATTCCTGCATTATTAGACTCTTAAGGTCCAGAGAAATATTTTCATACTTCTTAAACAAGCAGAAACAAGTTTAAATGTTCTGTGGTGCATTCAGGTCAATCCTTTTGCAGTCTGATTTCCTTGAAGTTGGTAGTGTGCTGTATCATTCTAGCTTTAAGATTCATGTGCAGCTTTTAGTGTGACTGATGAAATCTCAAAGACTAAATAGCGTAGTGATGCCTTTTTTTTCAGGTGGCTTTTCTTCTGCCAATTGTGGCCCACATGATGAGAGATGGCGTAACTGCCAGTAGCTTTAAAGAGCATCAAGAACCGGAATGTATTATTGTTGCCCCAACTAGAGAACTGATAAATCAGATCTTCCTAGAAGCACGGAAATTTGTGTATGGGTAAGCTTTTGTGCTGTTGCTTGGTATTGATTATTACTTTGTCTGAATCAGCAGTACTTAATTTTTTTTTTCATGAATACTTTCAGTAATTTTTCTGTGCCAATTGAATGACTTCAAACACTTGCCTTTAGATAATCATGCTGGCTAGCAGATTTAAATCTCTAGTCACATAGTAAGAAAATCCTAATCTTCCTTATGTTGGGGGCAGAGTTGAGAGGCTTACTCCAGCCTGAAGAGGAGATAAGTACTAAGCTTGTGTCACATCATCTTTACTGGTGAGAAAAATGAAATTTCTTAAAAGAAGTAACTTAAATTTAGCTTGACTTATGTGATTTTTACTTCCTTATATTTTTGTCTTCACGAAAACAAAGCTATGCATTAGGGGCTTTTAGTTAACTTTAAGTGATGGTGTCTAATAACTCTGTGCTTCCCACTGTTACTGGTCTTGGACAGAAATTCTACAGCTCAGGCTTGTACATTTGTACTGGTTTGCCAGTGATCTTCCTGCTGCTAAGTGATAGTTTTCACCAGTGCACAGTAAGAGAATTGAATCTGTTGCCTGTAATGGCTTGTTACTGGTAGGAGGTGGACTGGAGGACATTGCCAGTGCAAAATCTGGTGGGCTTAAATAGGTTTGCCTCTGCTTGTTCAAGCAAACTTAACCCTTGGAGGCTGTGTCTGCATTTGGGAAGTATCATGTTTGCCTATCTCCTTATTAGGCATGTTACTAAGAATAGCTTCTTAATCTCTGAAACTGTTCTGTGTAGCTAGTTCTAGTAATTACGCTGTTTTAAATTAGATACAGATCAATTCACAGTAAAATAGCTTTTTAATATAGAAAGTTTCTGCTACAGCTGCACTGGAGTAAAAGCAAGATAACCTGCATTTGGGGAGCAGTTAAACAATATCAGGGTGTGGATCTGTTGCCTTTCAAGTGTTATGTGCGTATTGCTCAGTTCAGATGTCTGATAAGCTCTTTGGTTTAGTTCACAAATAGGAATATTTGTATATATGAATTTATAGAAATTGATAGTGGATAAATGCTGAAATGTTATGAGTCCAACCGTTTCTATTCTTGACTAAAGCTTTCTGAAAAGTTCCAGTTAAACCTGGTAAAAATCTACCAGGTTTGTCTGATTCACCGTTGTTGCATATGAAGCTGAAGTAGTATCTTCAAGAGTAGACAGTTGAGTATGAAAATCCTCATTGCATGCATGTAAAAGCCTTAGGAGGAGTTTATAAAGATAAGCTGAAAACTTGCTCTTCAACTGTGTAAGGTACTTCTTGCTCGTAGAGGTGGTTTTCTATAGGAGAAGAATATCTGATGTAGCTCTACTCAGTGGATCTAACCAAAAACCTTAGTAGGAAGAGCACCAAGTAATTTAGCATTTGAACGGGTTTGTAGTCTAATGCTTAAGTGGCACACTGGGTGGCCAGTGTAATTGGTTGCTTTACAAACATTGACCTGTATTTGGGGTTTTTTTGCGCTGTCCTTTCAAGGTATGGAAAGATCACTTCTGAAGCTCTATACGCAGGTATTTGGTGGTTCTGCTTTTTCTAAATATGCCATATAAAAGGGGATACTGTCTTAACACCATTTTGACTTTTACTGCCAGTAACTCTCAGTTGAAGGGAGATGGAAGAATGCAAGTGTAATGAAGTGTTCTTTCCAAGTAAGCCACCTGTACAGCCTATACTATGTAGTATGAATGGGAACTTTGAGCTTACAGGGAATTTCTGGTCTTGGGTCCTGCTTTTGGTTATAAACTGTACTGTATGGTGAAGGAATTGAACCACTCAAGTAAGCTGGTTTGTGGAAGATCTAATGATTTTTTAAAAATATTTTCATGAAACAATACTTGTATACTTAGAGAATTAATCCAAATTTTTTTCTATGTAATAGAACTTGTGTAAGGCCTGTTGTGATCTATGGAGGTACACAAACAGGCCATTCAATCCGTCAGGTCATGCAAGGCTGTAACATACTATGTGCCACTCCAGGGCGGCTTCTAGACATCATTGGAAGAGAAATGGTAAGATGTTAAAACAGTCCAGATCTCTTCAGTCTGTTTCAAGGCCCACTGGAAAATATCAGTCTAAATCAAACTAGCTGTACTATTCTTTGCATTTAGATTTTATAGTTTAAATACATGGAACATCTTCTCTTAGTTCTCATGGAAAATTCCATAGCAGATTTTCACTTGATGTCCTGTTTGTTTTGCTACAATAGCTTTTGACTGTCTGGAACTATGCTAATATTAATTCTTTGTATGTTTTAATACTGGTTTTATTCAAAATATGAAAAACCCCAGTTGTGATATTGTATTTGAATTTTTATTTTTCCACCCATTATAAGTTCAATTTGAAATTGCTACATATTATAATGGTGGCTCAGTGATATTGCACTGGACAAATAAAGTTTGGAAAAACACTGCTTGGTAATAAACTGGAGGTTGGCTTTCTGCAGTTGTCAGGCTTCTAGTCAAAATGACAGTTTTGGTCAGCAGCAGTGAAGTTGTAATGTCCTTAATAATGCTTTCTGACATAAATATTTTCAGAATAAGGAGTGTTTTGGGAATGTGTGAGGGCTGTATGAGAGAACCTTTCCAAAACTCAGACATAATTTCAAAATAGATGTGCTGAATAATAGTTGATTTATAGGCTTTATCTTGGTTTATGTTGCTGAACCAAATTCTGAAGCACTTCAGTGTATGCATACCATTAGAATTAGTGCAGGTTAAGGAATTAAATACAGACTGAGATGCAAATAAAACTTAATGCACATAGGCTTTTATTTGTGAATAATTAACTTCTAGTAGAAAAAAATAAGTAAAAGGTGGATGTTGGCAGTTAGGACATTCTGTAAATGTATACCGTTGGTGAACCAATGCCGTTTTTCTTTCACTGAAATGCTTGCAGATTGGTTTGCGTAATGTGAAATATTTGGTGCTAGATGAAGCAGACCGCATGCTTGGTATGGGATTTGGGTTAGATGTGAAGAAGCTGATTTCTTACCCAAGCATGCCACCAAAAGACAAGCGTCAAACACTAATGTTTAGTGCCACTTTTCCTGAGGAAATTCAGAGGTGAGTAAAGTAAAAATGGAAATATATCTGAAGGTGTATTTGTATAGAGCTAAATGCCTAAAAGTTAAGGGCACTTCTTAATTTTAAAAGCTTATAATGTTGCTAGAAGATCACAGAATGATGTGAAGATACTGAAAAGCTATGATGTTAACATTCCTTGCTGAAGACTTCCCTTTTTTTTAGGTAACAGAAATCCTAGTAACTTGCACAGATTTAGGTGGGGACTCTAAAGCAACATATGAAGTTTGTCTGAAGGCTTTTTAAATTCTACTTCTGCAGAAGTCCTCATACTGCCCCTGTTTGTTTCTTGTCTCTCCTGCATCACATTTGTGCAAGCTCAAAAACAGTGAGCTTGCTGTTTCCCAAGCAGTGCTGGTAGCGCTGTCTTTGGCACCAGGAAGAAACAGAACATTCGAATTACTGCTGAACTCACCAGCCTTTCTGAAACACAGTTCTTAATTTAAATGCATAAGCACTGTTTGTTTTCAGTAGTTTTAAAGCTTCCACAAGTGGGTCTAGGATATATCTTGCAGCTGTGCTACTCACTACCATTAAGTTCCACTTTCCAGACTCTCAAAGAACAGTCTTCAACAGGTGGTAGTGGGGTTGCTGAGCCTGGCAATAAGAGAACAAAACACCTCGTTCCCTGTAGGTGGATGAAAATTATTCAGTATTTCCACTTTTGAAGAGACAGACATCTGAATATTCATTCTTAAATCAGAGGAGTCTAAACTTCCAGTTTGAGCAGTTGACATAATTTTGGTGACTTTTGTGGTTGGGGGTACTGTGGTGACAGTATCACTAAAAAATACCAGTAAGCATGTTACAGTTTGAGAGCATGTAAACTGATTAGAACATTGCAGTGAAGTATGTTAGTACTTCAGTGAGTCAAATCCTGACAACTTCCTTCTGTCTTTCAAAATGCCTGAAAGATTTTTTTTTTTTTTTTTTTTTCTTTTTTTATCCTTTGAAGGCAAGTAAGCAGCATGCTTTTCCTCTATGCTTTCAGAGTTGTAATCATAATTCAGTGGGATCAATTGACTATCCTGAATGAAAGAGGGGAACAGTTTGATTTCTCCCATTCAATCAGTTAATACTGACAGCTGTTGGGGAGATGAATCGCCTTCCTTTAAGTAGGATTGAATTGACCTTAAACTCAGCCTTAGGTCACCTGTTCTGGCTTTGGTTCATCGGTCAAGACTTCTTTCACAGAGTTTTTTGTATTGAAAAAAGATCTTGAACAAATAATGGTCTTGTTTCCACAGCTGTGAATCAGGTGTTCAGATGATACCGTGTATGAGCATAGTTCATGTTCACTCCGTGTGTTTACTATTGGTGTAGGAATGTGGTCTCACTTTGCACTGCATCCTGAGAAGAGATCAGGTGTGTCTCCCTTTAAGATGCACAGTCTACTCTAATTGGCTGAAGTGTTGGGGTTGAGAGAGGAATCTTGAACTCTTGATCTTTATATCTGTTGTCTGTATCAGTGGGTTGTCACTAATATGCCTGCTGTGTGTTTTTTCTGCATACTGAGGGATGATTGAAGAGTACTGCAACTACCAGCATCTGAAATGAGGAGATCCCTTCAGCTGTGCAAGACGCTTACAATCTGCTTCTGTTTAAAAAAACCAAAACAAACAAACCCACCTTTCTACTGTCAGTCTTGCAGGATTTACAAGTGCCGGTAGAAGACTTCAGAAATCTGAGCATTTGGATTGTGGTTTGGAAGTGCATAGTAGCATTCTTGTAACCTTTTGAACCTGGATTTCCTAAAGGTGGTGTTCTCATTTTAGACAGTGAAAACCCTGCTTGTCTGAAGTCAGTTTATTCCTGGATTTACTGCCTTTCTCATTCTGGAGTCAGGAAAGCTAATGTTTTCCCATATTCTGCTATCAAAACAACTTTGGACAATATACTGTTTTGGTAGTACAGCACAAGGTGCTTTCTTTGGCCCTGCTGGGTTCAGGCTTTCGGGCACTTTAGTGAGTGTAATCAGATTTAATTTTAACATGCCAGTTGGTTTTGCACCTGAATTTGGGTCTCTGCTGTTAACTCAAACCTTTGGTATGATCGTCAAGGCTCTTCGCGTGCGTGTGAGTTGAGAGAACCATGCATTTGCTAACTGACTGGTGAACTTCAACTTAGCATTTCAGGCTTTATATGTCTTACTAAAAGCTCTTTTCTTCTTTTTCTCCCTTCGTGTTTTTTGCTTACTGTTCCATTTTCAGGCAGTGTAAACTTGCCCTTTCAGTTTAGAGCTACACCTGTCTGAGATCTTAAACCAGTCAAATCTTAGGACTAGACACATTTAAATCTCCAGTAACTTGTTTGTTTGCTATGAAAAACACACTTTCAGTGGCAATTGCAGCTATAAATCAGGTGGGAGGTTGAAGTCCTTAACACAGTCTTTTAATGTGTTTAAGACTTTCCTCTTTTTTAGGAGTTTGTTCCAAAACTTCAGATTGCCATTTTTCAGTTAAGGGTTGACTTGTTTACCGTCTGAATTTTACTGCAGTGGAAGCTGCTTTGTGAACACTGGATGTGAAACACTTAATGTTTTGATAAGTTAACACAGTTCAGTAAAATTCTCAAGTATTATGGGACGTTCCAAGGAATTACCTATTTTGGCGAGTTTGATCTGTCAGGTAAGATCACCTGTGTAAGGGATAAATGTAGAGGAATGCTGTCTGAGCAGAAGTTGAGTTCTGCATATGGCAACTGTAAATAAATGCTGTGTAATAAACTCTGTTTTTAAGCAGTACTTTTGTTGGAGCAGTCAGAAAGGATGGTGGTGTCTCTTGGAGGCCTGTTTTGACTTTTGGCCTGTGTAGAATTCTCCCGTACCTCCAGGTAGTGATGAAATAATGTCCCAAGAATGGTTCTGTGAGCATACGTGCCAGTAACCTGTTTTATTACAAGCATATATATGGAAGTGTTTGTGAGACGGCTAGAAAATGCACTGTTTGTATTATGAAGAGCTGCAGGGACATAATCAGTCTGTGCATCTTTTTATTGGTCAGGTTTTTTGTACAGCTGTCTAGAAAATGGTAGAGACTCTTTTAGTTTTTTAAAAAATGCACATATGACTGCTTACATCCTTGGCCTTGTGAGGAAGGGTAAAAGCATTTGTTATGAGGGTTACTTGAACATAAATGAAGTTACTTGATCTTAAAGGAAAAATAAGCTACATAGACTTCATGTTGCTCGATTTTGTTTATTTTCAAGGCTCGCTGGCGAATTTTTGAAATTTGATTATTTATTTGTTGTTGTTGGACACATGGGTGGAGCTTGCAGTGATGTTCAGCAAAATGTTCTCCAGGTTCCTCAGTATTCCAAGAGAGATAAATTGATGGAAATTCTACAAAGCATAGGTAACTTTCTTTATTGCTTATTGTTTTCCAGGGAAGATAAAATCACTTGGTTTTAAACTTGTGCTGTTGCTGTTGACCAGGTCGTGATTCCATTCTGTGTGTTACATGCTTTACAAGACTGCTGATTGAAGCTTGAAGCAGACGTCAAGGAGTTCTGGGGTCTTAGGCATATTTGTGTTAGGGGTATTTGTCAAGGTCTTGTCTCTGTTGAGTACTAGCAGACAAGCTTTCCAGATGATTAATTTCTCTGGTCAATTACAATACTTTAGCATCTGGGGGTATTATGTTCAGGTATTATGTTCAGATTATAAATGCATTAAACTTCTTACGTGAGTGCTTCCTCTTACGTTTTGTTAATGGCTGGGGTTTTTTCTTTTTTTCCATTTTTCCACTGAATGTATCTTAAATTTTAATGCTGAAAACTGGAAGGGAGTTTGGAATTAAAAAATAGTTGGTGTACCTTGCTGTTCAGTGCTCTGAGTAGCATGCCACTTTGAGCCACATGCGGTAGAAACGGAGTACATACTTACCACAAATAAGACCATTTATCTCCTGCTTTTATTGAGGAGAAAAATATAATGCGCTTGTCTTCGCATAGGTTTCTGTGTTGATCTGGAAGTTGGTGGATTGAATTTAAGGAGTTCAACGAAGGCAAGAAGTTAGAATCATACTTTAAATACTTTATTCAAAATGTATTCTGATATTAGGCGTTCATATAAGTAAGAGCAAATGTGGATAGTGAAAACGCATCAGATTTCAAACTGCAGTCGATCTGAACTCTTACTTAACATAGGTCATGAACGAACCGTGGTGTTTGTGGACAAAAAGATGAAAGCAGACTACATTGCAGCCTTTCTTTGTCAAGAAAGAATATCAGCCACTAGCATCCACGGGTATGTATTTTTTGAGTGAAAGTCAGGTAATAGTATTGACTGAAAGTCACTTAAGACTATATCTTATGAGAAGCTTTTATTGCAGTTTTGTTCGGCTGTATCTGTGTGACTGTTTGCCTTGTTTCAGGTGGCCCTGTAATCATCAGCAGCTCTGCCCCGTTTAGAATGTAGTGTTTCTGAAGGCCAGTTTTCACAGCGTTTGCTGAATATACATCTTTCTGGTTGACCACACTTCAAATCCTGTGTATCAACTGGGTAATATTATGTCTACTGCTAAAATAAAGATTAGTATATAATAAGTTCAGTAGAATCAGCTGTTGTTTATATGTAGTTTTCGTCATCGTTTAAGTGGCCAAAATCAGATCTTCTGGTGTTGCTAGTGAGGTGATAGTCGTAAATTGAAGTGTCAGTTGTGGACCTTACCCTTTGTCTTACAGGCTTTCTCAGAATGACAAGGTAAGTTGAATCATGTATCATACAGATTTCTGATGCTGTCATTTCTGCCTCCCTGATGTGTTCATGGACATAGCATTTATATGGAGATCAATCCAAAGAGAAGATGCTTCCAACTTGTGTTAGTAGTCTACTCATGAGTGTTGCATACCTGAACAAATGCTGAGAAACAAGGTGAAATAGTTGCTAATTCCAGATCTAAACCCATCTGAAAAGATGGTCAGTCTTCATGGAATGAGCTGGAATCTAGTTCTGTCATGTTTGTCTGTATGTCAAAACGTGGGACAACAAACTGAATCTTAAGATTCCCAGTGAACTGTAGCACATCAAAAATGTAATTAAGCAATATTTTTTACCTTGCAATAGTCAGAAGGAACTGGAAGTCATGCCAGTAAAATTATGTTTTGGGCTGTGTTCTGACAGACATCAGAACTTCAAGGCTGTAGATGGGTTAAAATGATCTTAGTACACGAATACAAGATGTTTATGTGTATTCTGTGCCCTATCAATTTTATGGGTGTGTGAAGGCTTGTTTTGAGAACATCTGGCTTTCTGTTCTTGACTAATGTGACCTGCTATCCCACCACAACGTGTCTTGTATTGGGGCAGGTTCTTAACGCATTTCTGTAGAATTACTACACTGTGAATTAAGGTATACTTACAAAGAGAACATCGGGTTCCATGGAAGCTCCTAAACTCTGTGAATAATGCCAGTGTCTGATTTACTATTTCAAGCTGTAGTTGGTTGGGATAGGTGCTCTTCGCTGGAGTAGTGATTATATCAGACTTCACCAAATGTCCCATGCTGTATTCAAAAGAGCAGTGTTTTTTAGCTTTCTGATTTGTTCACTCATTTGGACAAGGAAGAACATGAGTTAAACTCTGATCTAGTGTATTTAAGTACTGGGTAGCCTGTAAATATTCCTTGAAAATGCAAACCTCAGAGCAAATCTAGTTTTCTTCTCATGATGGTAAACAAAAGGTGAGTTCTGTAGTAGTGGCTGGCCACGCTTCCTGGTTTATCTGAAAAATGGCCTGTCCAGGAGTCTAGGTACAATTCATTTTTCCTGTTCTGGGTCCCTGCTGCAAAACAGTAGGAAAAGCACTTCTGACTATGGCATGAAGAATCAGTCGGTTAAACAAGTGTATCTTCTTAGGGAGGCAGTGAGTTTGATATGTGACTATCTCTGGTTCTTTTAAAAAATTAATTTGTCTAGAGACTTAGGTTAAAATAGTTGCTGTGCCTTACTGCTAATCAGAAAATCAGAAAACCTCAACTGGTAGTTTGTGGGTGATTGATTTGGTTTTCTTTTTTCCCCCAAGAACTACTTCCATCAATCAGTCATGACCTTTTAACTTGTCTCTTAAGTAATACAGCAGATTTTTCAAGACATCCATTCTCACCATTTCTTTGCAGAGATAGAGAACAGAGAGAGAGAGAAGTAGCTCTTCAGGATTTTCGTTCTGCAAAATGTCCGGTTCTTGTGGCAACTTCAGTGGCAGCAAGAGGTCTGGATATTGAAAATGTTCAACATGTTATTAATTTTGACCTTCCTTCCACCATTGAAGAGTATGTACACCGAATTGGACGAACTGGTCGTTGTGGAAATACAGGCAAAGCAATTAGCTTCTTTGATAACAATTCAGATGGCCATCTTGCACCATCTCTAGTTAAAGTGCTTTCAGATGTAAGTTTCAAATCTTAGTGCTTAACTTTTTCTGTTCTTTAGGATTTCACTTCAATGTACTGAGCAAGTATTATTTCTTTGATACGGCTATGGAACTCTTAATACGAATTGGTAAAGCAGTCGAAGTCTCTCAATTCACTTTTCTAACTATGTAGGCCCAGCAGGAAGTTCCTGTGTGGTTGGAAGAAATTGCTTTTGGTTTTCAAGGAGGAAGAGTCTTTACATCAGTTAATAACCAAAAGGTAAGTCCGGAAATGAACTGGATGTCTTGGATGTTAGAACTTTGTCTCAGTATAAATATTTATTTAGCAGTATGTATCCGGAGTCATGCCACTGAAACAGTTTTGACTGTAACTGTCCCTTATCTCAGTTGTGCATCTTCAAGTGCTCAGTATTTCTGAAACTAATTTTGGACAACTTGCTTGGTTTGGACTCTTACAGTGTGACCTTATTAGCTGCATTAGTCTTACCTGTAGTGTCAAGAATTACACTATGGAAGAGAAGGTTTGTACAAACATAGGCAAAGGCTGTAGTTCCAGAAGTTTCTGTACTGCACATGTAGAGTAGGAGCAAATAGTTGCTAGTTATACAATCACTGTGTGTTACGAATCGCATAATCAGATAACTCATCTAAGAACTTCAGCAATCTCATCCATGTCAAAATTTTTCTTGCTGTCTGTGATGAGGAAGAGCCTGCTGGTCTATTAGCATTGCTGATACCAGATGTTAAAATACAGCTTGAGGAAATGAGACAGCCTAGGTGGCATAGCGCTGAAAGTAATGCAGAGAGTCATTCATAAGTGAGAAATGGAGAAGGAATTTGTTCCCCAAAGTTGTGTGAACTGATTTGTGCTGGGTAAGACAAGAATTCGGGATCTGAATTTAGGGAAGGATTATTCCCACACCTGATAAAATCTGAGGTTGATTAAAGTGCATTAATTACACAGTAGGGTCTAAAAACCTTACGTATAGAAGTTAAATAATGAAAAAGCTTCTGTGTTTTTCAAAAATACGTTCAAATTACATTGAGATGTATGCAGATACTGTTAAATGATTGAAAGTGTTAATGATTCTAAACCAGTACTTGTTCTGTTTCCTAGAATTACAGAGGCAGAGGCAACATGAACCCAGGAGGAGTGAAGACGTATTCTGCAAGTGCATTTGAGTCATGGGATTAAAACCACCTTAGTACCAAACTAGATTGTATTCTGTTGTGCTTTAAGTGAACTGTTGCACTTAATGTTCCTTACTGTTGAGCTTATGGAACACTTAATGTTTGAAAGAGTAGCTCGTATCATATGCTGAAGCTTGCGGCAATGTATATGTACTCTGTTAGATGAACCCAATGATAATTATCACTTAGTGTAGTCAAAAGCAGTTTTTTAGGAAACTCTTCAGGTATTAAACGTTAAAATTTCCAGTAAGTGTTTGATGCTTTATAGCCAGTATGCTGCTGTAAAAAGATGGAGATTTTGCAAGTAGAAAATATTAGATCCGTTGAACTTGCTACTTTGTTATCAAAATTTTGCATGGGAAGATAGTCTTGTGAAGACCTAGTTTGGGAAAGAGCTTTATGTAAAGGGCTTGTCTAAACTTAATGTTCATTCCTTTTTGTAACAGGTCAGTTATAAAATTTAAATGTAGTGATGAGATGACTTACTCTTAAGGATCTGTTAAACTCCTGTGAACAGTTACTTAATAAAAGCTTGAGGAGCGCATATTGATGGTTGCTTCTACATCAGATACACAGAAAAGCGTATGTCATTGCAGTTTCATGAACTGGTGTTCTTTTGACATGCATGGAACATGTGCATCTCTGTATGGAACTAAAGGTCAGTGGCTACATCCGCAACTTAGTTGAAATACAGGATTTTATAGAGCCATCTTCAGAGAAGGTTGGAGTCCTGTATTGCTTCTAGTGTGCTGTTTTTGCTGTTGATGGACTGAAGTACTGTTCTTTTGGAAAAATTGCCTTAGAATAAGCTTGTTGGCTCATATCCAAGAGAGTTTTCCGGACTTGCAGAAGCTATGGAGGGTAAGCAGCCATTAACAGTTGATGGAGGTGTCCTTAAAGTTGCTTTTTCAGTGAATATTTTATTTACCAGTGCAGTAAGCTACAAAGCTGCATATCATTGTGTCACAAAAGAAAATGGCAAAGTAGTTGTAATCATAATTTGTAATGTCTTGCACAGCTGAACAAGCTTACAGGTTTCTCTCGTGTTCTCTGGTGTGTAGCATGCAATGCTGAGCACTATTTCTTGTACGATCTTCCCACCTAATACAGGGAAATAATACTTTTAATCTCTGCTTACAAGACTATTTAATGCCCAAGTTTGTGAGAATCAGAACTGACTGGGGCAGAGCTATGGAGTCTGTTATTGTGGAAAAGCAGGCTGCTGTTCATAAATTTCGTATTAATATATTTTCAAAATAATTAAATACCTGTTTATAAAAATACTGTTATTTTTGTAGACTGTAGTTTTACTGCTACATAATATGCAAAACAGTAAAATGTGTTAATTGTGTACTTGGAAGTGAGCTGAGGGGATGTATAGCTAAATCGCAACTCATAAGTGTGGGTGTATTTAAGCTTGAAGTCCGTAGTTCAGAGTACAGTATCCTGGGCAGCATGACTCCTTTTCCTGACAAGTCTCCTTGAGGATTTTTGCATCCATTCTGAATTTCAGGGTGCTTTTGGTTGCTGACTACAACAAATGCAAGTGAACTGTACTTTTTGGAGGAAGCTGTAGAGTTGATGAAGCCTTCCATTTCTGTGAAAAAAAGCCGGAAATACACTCATGGGCCACTTGTAACCTAGAATAAACTTGTAAAGGGAACCTGGGTTAGCCTTATTTAAAGGACCACTTAGATCGCTGTGGTTTTTGCTTTGCCTCCCATCTTGGGACTTCTGAGTCGGTGGGGGCAGCAGAGGCAGGTCTATAACTGTCTGAAGAGCTGTTCTGGCCCTTATGTTCTCAATCACTTCTACTGAAAGCTGGACAAGGGAAAAAAAATGGTGCTATTCTAGCTTAGGGCTACTGTTACTGTAGTGCTGTGTCACATTTTTCTGCTGCAAACTGTGTTTAAATTGCTCAGCATCTTACTTCAGAAGCACCTCATGAAAAACTAAACATGATTGAATTTAATCTTCTTTAGAGGAGCTGATACCACACCTAATTAAAGGCCGTAAGGTGTGGTGGGTGGGAGTTAAAACTGCAGCAACCTCAGGCGTGCATTTTATATGTAGCTTGGGAAGTAATGATTAGAATAGCTTTTTAGTAGCTATTACATTTTATCAAATATAACATTTCAAATTACTCCTACAAGAATTAGGAGTGTTTGTATACAACATGTTTATCAGAACACATGGGTTTTCCGTGAATACTTTGAGAAAAGTGTTCACTTTTGTGTCATTTGGGATGGGTGGAAAGAGGGTTGACAGTCAGTGTGGTTTTCTGAATAAACGTTTAGTTAAGGGTAAAACTGAAAGGTGAGTATGTGTGTGCACTTGCAGTATCTTTTCGATGCATGTGTTTGATTTACTCTTTCATTACTCTGTTCTTTATAGGTACTTTTGCATCTTGTCTTTCCCTGCTTGATTTATTTCCTCATGTTTCTAGGTAAAAAGAGGTTGCACAAAACTTCCTCTTGAACTTGTGTGTATGCAGTCCTGACGTATAGTATCTCTTTTGTTTTGAAAGATAAGTGGCATTATGCGCTGAACCACATTATTTTTTTTTCTGTTTCAGCTAGGTGTAAAGGTGCTGTAGGGTGTCAAATTTATAAAAAGTATTAACTAAAATTATTTAAGACAAAAAGCAATAAGATGATGACTTTACCAATTTAATAATTGGTAGTGCATTAAATAATGCATGCATAAATCTAGAACCTGTGGTAAAGTGTCTCTGGAACATTTGTTTGTACAGTGTTTGCAAACATTTGCGCTTGAAGTTCTGTTTTACAGCAGTCCAAAACCAAAACTTAGTAGTGTTCAACACACTGTATTACTTCGGGCAAAGCAGACTTTTTTGCATTTCCTTTAGGTGGAAATGTTTATTTCTTACTTGTGCATTCTACAACTTCAGTCTGTTTTTCTGCATGTTCAGAAATATCCCCTTCCTAAAGGAGTAAAACCATGCGTTTCTTTCAGTAGTTTCTGAAGGTAGTAGAAGTTGCCACAAACAAATGTTCATTTTTTTCCTGCTACATAATTAAAAAAACTCCAAACCCAACAAAAAAAACAGCCAACAAAACCTGTCCTAGAATGGGATTGAAATAATTTAAAGAGGAAATAAATCTGATTTACTACTTTTTATGAGAGGGTGAGAAATTGAAGAACCAAGTCTGATGTCAGATTATTTTGTCTGGTCAGAAGTATAGAATGCCCATTGAAAAGGGAGTGAGGGAAAACTAGGATTAAGGAAAATGGAAAACTTCAGGAATAACATTTGCAGAAATGCAAAAAACACTTCCTTCTTGAGTATTCAGTTTCATTTTAAACCTCATGTGACTCTTTAAGTGTGTAACCTGGAGGCAAATATTTCAGTCATCCTCAGCTGGAGGAAAATACAAACAAGGGAAGTTGGGGTTGGGAATAAATGCACTGTCAGCTGCTTCTCTGTTACTTTTGTTCCAGCACTCAGGTAATTTTATATTTATATAGAGAACATGTTGAAAGTCTTCCTGGGAAAGACTGTGTTAATACCTTCTTCACTGGAGAGTCCAGTTGTCCTCCAGATAGCAGTTGGGATGAACATTCTTGAAAGATTTCACTGAACTGATTGAAATCTGAGAGCAACTTGCCTGTTAATTCCTTTTAAAAGCTTCTGCTGCCTACAGTTTTTGCTAATGTCAGGTCCTTGAAGGCTTTATCGTCCATGTTTATATGAAAAGTACTGTTTGTACTGGAGTGTAGTTCAAGATTAAGCTGTGGGTTGTTGACAAGCTAGTGTTGCAAAATGTCATCGAGCCTTGTTTCCTTCAGCAGAATTTTGAATGCTGCATTTTCTGTCACTTTGCAATAGTAACACACTTAATGCAGTGCCTGAACTTTTTGTCCTTGTGAGTTGAGTTTCTCATTGGAGTGTGAGAGGGCTGCAGTCATAGAAAGTCTGTAGAGGTGAATTGTGACAGTTGTGTTTTGGCTGTGGATCCTGATCTGAACAGCAGTTCTGGGAGTGGCAAAGAGTAAGTGAAGTCAAGAGTTTCTTTGTATATCTGAAAAATGAAGGAGAAATAGCAGAGGCAACCTTGCACCAGTGCTAGCTTTGCTAAACAAACTTTTTTCTGAAACAAGGTCTGCTTCTGTAACTAGCAAAAATACCAGTCTGAGTAGACATTCTCCTTTTTTAAAGAGGATTTGGAACTGCTAGGCAAGTTGGGAGTGGGGAGATCGGATATTCTGCGAACCAGTCTGTGAGATCCTAGTATGGAAATGTACTGGGACAGATGTCTGCTTTGATTCTGTAAACCCCATCAGAATGTTGTGTAGGGCTGGTTTTTGTTACTGGTCAGTCTGTGATCATTGATGTGATTATGCAGTTTTCTGAACATGTGGCAGAATTCATCTACCACTTGGTTTTTCATTGCTTGATTCTGGGATGCCTGAAACAATTCTTAGAATTGTTTGATACATTTGAATATATATATAAAAAAGAAATAACAACAGTACAAAACATGAGCCTACACACCATGATCATCCCAGTGCATCGTATTGCATTGCTACAGTAGGAACACAGGAGTTGTTTTTAATATCCTTTATTATTGCACCAAATTATAACAATGTGTGGTTTTGGGTTTTATCTCCTGGATTTCCACCCCAGCTATGTTTGAGTCCTGTACTGATAAAAAGGCTTGATTTTTCTCTTCACAGTTACCTGTACTGTGGTACAGCACTGGGGTATGAACCTCACTGGTGTACAGCTGTGGTTGCAGACAGTACTGTCCTTGTGTTACATGAATGTGCTGTCACTACTGTAGTTAAACTGTATTCCCCCAAGTACTCAGTAATCCGGTTACAGATTTACAACGTCAGGCATAGTACCTTAAGAGTAAATGGGCACAATCTCTGGAAATAATGATCGTAACTCTAAATACTTTGAGGCAATTAAGTTCTTACAGATAAAAGTTACTGTTTTATTAGTAGAGAGGAAGACTAAGAAACTGCACAGAGGACTGA